ATTCAACAATCAAACGAATCAAGTAGCATCGGTACCATATCTCTAGCCGGAACCATTTTCCATCGGTTTTATATCAATCCTCTAGCCGGAAATGACTTTGGAATCACAACACTTGCCGGAAATGACCTAGGAATAATAGCACTCACCGGCGATGACCTCAGAATCATAAACATCACATGCCACATCACAGTGTTCAACCATCAATGCACACACGCAATATCACACCACATGGAAGAGACAATAATTCATGCAAATCAAGTCCACATTTATGCTATCAAGCATTTCATCAATCAATCAATAAGGGTCACAACAAGGCAATTCACATCATCTTGTTCATCACATAACCTTTTCAATTTCAACCCTTTCTATCCATTAAGATTTATCAAGTGGACAATTAACCTTTCACCCCATCCCCATTATTTCCAATACACAAACAACAAAGGGAATACACGATTCTACTAGAATACAAGGTTTAGGAGATCGCTTGTCTTAAATCAATCAATATACAAGCAAGTATCCACAATCACTTTCCGGAAACAACAATACCCACATCAATTGCTTAGCACAATGGGTCAACTCACTCAAACCCAATTTCAAAAGGAAAAGTTTGAATCCGAAATTTAATACTTGAAAGCAATACTCAAAACTTTAGAAACTCATTGGTGAAAAATTATTTTGAAAAGGGACCTACTTGGAGGTCAAAATCTCCATTTAAGCTAAAAATTTGAGTTCTTGAAAATCTTACCATTTACCAATCAAAATCTCATATTTTGATGTTAAAATCTCATTATATATGTTATTTACTTATTTATTGAATTATGTATTTTATTGAAAATATCTAAATCGAAAAACTAAACGGCAAAATGGGAATCCTAGTGTATAAACATGAGAATATCAATAAAGAAAACTAAATTAATAAATCAAATGAACCTTATACCCCTATTAGATATCAACTTTTGTCCAATAATAATGAACCCTTGGTTTACAGAGAATATATATAAAAATATAAATACGAATCAAATACGAAAACCATAAGAGAATAAGAAGAAAGCTAAGGTAGAAACCATAACAATTGCTTCAAAGAGAGAGGCAATCTTGAATAAAATTGAGTCAATGAACCAATTGCGCAATTTGTATATTCTCTTTTTCTTCCTCAAACACGAATTCTTGAATCTCAACCTCAACGATGATGTCTTAGTACTACAATTATTTTCATCTTGAGAACCACCAACATTGCTAACACGTTTAGGCGCGCTGATATTTTCATTATTATTCTTGTTTAGCATCTTGAGTGACAACAAATAACCTTCTGCTTTCATATCTAATTAACTTGAATGTAACAACTATTTTCTACTTGGATTCTTGACTTAGTTTGTTTCTTTGATTATTATTTTTTGGGTATAGAACAATATAGTTGATGAGTTTGATGAGGCAATGAGGGGGTTTTGGTGTACCTATATATAAGGTTGTGGAAAAAAGGTATTTATGAATAGTCAAAAGTGGGGGGCTGTATGAATAGCATGACTTAATTGCACCCTTTAGGAAAGAGATTGTCAAATCAAAGAAAGTAGAAATTACGTAGAAGATATGTATGTACTTGTTAATATTATTTTAGATCGTTGAATTGGATTTTTTTTTTAAAGGACGTTTCACACGCTTTTTTAGATTTATCTAAGCTGAAAACGTTAAGGGATTACCATTTTTAAGTTGGTAGATTCGAAATTAATAATTTATACTTATTTAATAACACTTTTAAAATAATAATTGAGTTTGAGCTAAAACTATGACAACCCTCTATCTAAAGAAATATAATGTGAACTCTATATCTACTCTTGCATCAAATTTTTGAGATTATGTAAATTAATGTATTATTATTTTATTTATTATTACTCTAATAGAAAATATATATATTTACTTGGTATATTAGAGTTTAACTTTTATTTATATATATAATATAAATTATATGATAGTATAAATTTTTTTACGTTATTAAGTTACTTAGAATATAATAATAAATAACTTTTCAGCAATAAACCTGCGATTTGTGAATGAAAATAAAATAAATTATCTATCAGAATGCATAAATAAAAATAACTTCAACGGATTAACCTAGTAATAAATTCTATCAAAAATCTACATAAAAATGATTATTTTCTCACATTATCCCTATTAATTAATAGTTAATTAGTATTAGATATTAAAAAATAGTTTGAGAAATTAATAAATAATTAATACTAAAAATAAAATATAAAAAAGATTTACTTTTTGAAAATATATCAAAAGTGACAAATTAAAATGAAAATTTATAAAATAATGGACGATGAGTATTATAAACTATGATCATTAAATGTGTTAATTATGTGTGAACGCAAGTTTTGACATATATTACAAGATAATTTATTCCCCCACCCCCTCTTCTTACTTTAATAATTTATTAAGAAGATATACGATTTTGATTTTCTTTGCAAACACGTGTTTTTTGCTTCAAATTACCCAACTGCTTTACACGTTCAACTCTCATGCTATATGCTCTCTTGTCAACACATATAATTTGATTTGTCTTTTTCTTTTTAATATTTTTAAAAAGATATATGTTTTTTTGACAATTTATTAATTTCAACTTTTTACCTAACATATTTAACAGTACAAGAAAGGGCATTATGGTACATTTTACATGTTTTTAGTGTAAGATCACAACATTCAAAAACCGTCTTTACCTTTTTAAACTATCATGTTGAATCAAAACCAGACAAATAAATTAAAACGGAGGGAGTACTAATTACAAAATAATTCTAACTTGCAATATTTTCTTGAGTCGAAGGTCTATCGAAAACACTCTTTACTCCATGACGGAAACTCGAAAAGGATAAAGTTTGTGTACGCACACACCATCCTCTTTAAATCCTACTTATAGAATTATACTTAATATGTTGATGTTGATGTTCTAACACATTTACCTAATTATCGAACAATTTAAACTCATCAATTAAATTCTTAACTAAAAAATTGATTATAAAAGTTTTTTTTATAAGAAATAACTAATCAAAGTAGATTCCTTATAATGAGAGGGTCATGCATGCACCTTTATTCCAGTAGAAGACTGAAGAATCTCAAGGTCGGGCATCATTATATTTTTCCACTATGAAATGGAGTAGCAGTACTATCTGTTGAATAAATAATTCAAATAAAAGAAGAGAAAAGTTACCGTAGCTTTCTTTTAGTATTTTACTGTACTACACTTTGACTTAACAATCGTTTAACCATAGATTTTCAAATATTATTTGAGTGAAAATATGAGTGAAATTTCATCGTGTGTTTGGCCATAGTATTTGGAAAACATATTTTATTTTTTTAGAAAAAATATGATTTATATCCATAAGTTTTAAAAACTATGAAAACTAACCATATGTTTGTATTACAAGTCAATTGGATCTTCCTTGCAACATGCATCATTTCATACACTGGAGCAATGTGGTAGTTTGGAGTGAGTGCAACAAGCATCATTTCATACATCCTGAAGTAGACAAAACACATGACTTTGTTATCTTCAGACATGGTGTGAACATGTCTTTTGCATTGGTTCTGAGACATGGTTGTGATAAGTGTTATGCGGATTGAGTAAGAATAAGAAATTAAAGAGGATGTACCATTTCGAGGGACGTGTCGCGTGCCGCTACGGATACTATCTTTCAAGGGACGTGTCGCACGCCGCGACATATTCTATTATCGAGAAACGTGTCACACGTTGCGACGAATTTTATTATCGAGGGTCGTGTCGCACGCCACGATGGATGCATGGACAAATATGTCCATCATGGGTCCCGAACTGAGAGACAACGGGTGTGTATCATTAGATCAGACATTTATCACTATACTTGACATTGCATTTCATTGTCTTGCACATCTTTATTATTGGTGAACTTGATCTTGCGTTGTTGATCTTGTGAGTGCCATTCTGTGGAACTTGTGATTGATGAACATTGAGCTTGTTGTTGAGGATATGTAATTGTTAGAGTGTTGTTGTTGAGATGTGTGCTATGTAAATTGTAAACTATTAGGTTGGACTGATTTTTATGTAGGTTGTAGTGGTGGAGGTTTGGTTGGGGTGTAAGGAGTACCTGTATTCTATTCCCTTAGCTTCTGTTTAGAAGTTTACTTGTTGAGTACCTTGTGGTTTGGTACTCACCCCTTGCTTCTACATTTTTGTAGGTTACTAGCCCGAATCTTTGTGATACGCTTTATTCTCTTCTTTTCCGAGGCTTCATGTGGAGATTTGTGAGGTAGTTGTTTGTCGTCTCAACGAACCTTCTTACTCCTATATATGATCTTGTTCTATTTTAGAGACAACATCATTTGAGACTTATGTTTTCTTTCAATTCTAGTGTAATACGTTAGAGGCTTGTGCACTTGGGGGTTTAATTAAGTTGACATTGTATTCCACATATTATCGTTATATTTGAATTTAGGCTGACTTGTCTAATTGGTGGGATAAGATGAGTGTCATCACATCCATTTTTGGATCGTGACAGAAACACAAATCATAACTAGTTGTATGTGTGAGGGAAACTAAACTCCAGTAATACCGACCTCAAAAAGTCTCAAACAATTGAATCAAAGGCCTTTTGAATATCAATCTTAACCATATATCTAGGGATGGAAACAAGACATTGTTGGAATTAATGCATCCACATTAATTGTTTAGTCTCCCCAAAAATTGTCTCTTAGTTTTTCAAGAAAGTCTTTTAAAATTTCGTAATACATGTATCTAGTAAATTGTGATACATGTATCTAGTTATTTATGCAAGACCTTTGATTTACATTATTAGTAGTATAAATAGAGATGTAGTTGATGATTGTAATCATCTCAAGTGGCCTATATAAAACTTGAGCATTCTCTAAAGATAGTATTCTCCTTCTATATTTACTACAAATTGGTATCAAGAGCAAGTTTTCGTTCTTAATATGGGGTTAGGTGAAGAAAAATATGGCATCCAAAACAAATGAAGGTGCTGATTCTTCAGTTGTTCTTACTCCATTTTTTTTATGGAACTGATTTTGAATACTGGAAGATAGAAATAAGAACACATTTGAAAGTTGAAGTTTTTGTAGACTATTGTTTCAATGGCTTTGAAGAGCCAGAAAACGATGGTAAACTTACAGCAGCAGAGATGAAAAATCTTGAGGCTAAGTATAGTCAAGATGCAAAAGCCTTAAGCAAAATCCAAATGGGAGTCTCAAGAGCATATTTTGCAAAAATTGCTACTTGTGAGACTATAAAACAAGCTTGGGAGTCTCTGAAAACTGAGGTGTATGGTGACGAAAATGTACGCACTATAAATCTTCAAACTCTTAGAAGAGAGTTTTCAAAATTTGAAGATGATAGAATCTAAAAAAATAGATGAATATTGCACAAGAGTCATGAATATTGTTAATGAAATGAGAAATCATGGTGATACAATTTCTGACCAACAATTTGTGGAAAAGATTCTAATTAGTGTCACAGAAAAGTATGAGTACATTGTTGTTATCACCGAGGAGACGAAAGATCTTTCCAAGCTTTCCATCAAAGAGCTAGTTGAATCATTTCGTGCACACGAGAAGCGAAGATTTTTTCATGAAGATCAACCCAAAGAGACGGCTTTCCAGTTCAGAACAAATGAGAATCCTAAAAAATTCTCAAAAAATCAACAAAAGAAGAATTACAATCCAAAAAAGAAGCAGGATCGTGATGGTTCTTCAAAGAAGATTGAAGAAAAAAGTGAGAAAAGTTCTAGTCGTTTTTGTAAAGTTTGTAAAAAGACTAATCATACTGCAGAAAAATATTGGCACAAAGGCAAGCCCCAATGTAACTTTTGTAAAAAGTTTGGCCACATTGAGAAGGATTGCTGGCACAAGAAACAAGAGCAAGCAATTTTTTGTGAAAAACGAGAGGAAGAAAGGGAAGAAAACCTTTTCTTTGCTTCTAAATCTGATACTTCAACAAAAAGCAATGAATGGTATGTTGATAGTGGTTGTAGCAATCACATGACTGGAGATGAAAAAGGCTTTCCTCTCAATTAATAATAGCATCACTACTAAAGTGAGAATGGGGAATGGAGCCTTAGTTGATGCAAAAGGTAAATGTACCATTTCAATCACCATAAAAGGGAGCGGTAAGCAAATTCATGTTCTTTATGTTCCCGACTTGGAAGAAAATTTGCTTAGAGTTGGTCAACTCATGGAAAATGGCTATTCTCTTGTGTTTAGAGATAATTGTTGCAGGATTTATGATAAAATTGAGTCAAATCAAGTCATTGTTGAAGTAAAGATGATAAAAAGAAACTTTCCTTTGCAATTTCATTACAATGCATTAAAAAATCAAGTTGTAGATGATTCATGACTTTGGCACAGAAGATTTTGTCACTTGAATTTTTCATGGTTTGAAGCTTCTTAAGCAAAAAGACATGGTGCAGCGCCTTCCTGAAATACATATGGAGGTGGATCCATGTGAAAGTTGTATAATGGGAAAGCAACATAGAAAGTCTTTTCCAAAAGGGATGTCTTGGAGAGCAAATGTACTTTTGGAACTAATCTATACCGACATTTGCAGACCAATGAAGACTCCATCTCTTGAAAGTCAAAGGTACTTTCTAATCTTTATTGATGATTTTTCAAGAATGACTTGGGTTTATTTCTTGAAAGAAAAGTCAGAAGCATTTGCTACATTCAAGAAATTTAAAGCCCTTGTTGAGAAGCAAAAAGGTTGCAGCATCAAAACCATTTGCATTGATAGGGGAGGCGAATACACAAGTCGAGAATTTGAAGAATACTGCAAAAATGAAGGCATTCAGAAGCAATTTACAGCAGGGTACACTCCTCAACAAAATGGTGTATCTGAAAGAAGAAATAGAACAATTGTTGAAATGGCCAGAACTTTGATGAATGAGAAAGGGATGCCAAAATATTTTTGGGCAGAAGCAGTACCTACAGCGGTGTACATCCTCAACAGGTGCCCGACAAAGGCATTGAAGGA